ATCAGTCCATGAATAAAAAAATATCACTAGTATGTTGCTCCTACACGTCACTAATGGGAATGGGATGGTTCCCCCACTGATAGTCAAGAGGAAGATGCTAAACAGAGGGACAGGGCTATACTAGAGTTAAGAAAAAAAAAAGTAATTTTTACATCACAGGGTAATCCAGATGTGGACCCCTTCCTCACTGTGCCTGGAGGGGTATCCGCTACACCTCACTGATGAAGCCCAAAACAACGCCAAAACGATCGTCTGGGATTGCTGTAACTCTCGTGCAGAGTGAACTTGCTGGCGTTCGGGTGGGACCAGTCTGACATGCTTCTCTTCAATGGCACAAGTGAGCAAAAATTATTTTGAGACCTGAGCGGGGTATTACCGAAGGGCAACTATTAAGTCTCTATAAGCTTTTGTCTGTTCTCAGAGTTCTCATATTCTTTCTTATAGTTTTTACATTACTGCCTAGGGACACCTCCAGTAGCAGTACCTCAGAGAGCCACTTAAGGCGCTTCCTGGTTCAGTGATGCACAACTTGCAGCATTGATGTTCAGCATCACCACTCTCTGCAAGGAGACGCTAAACTTTCCCCATTGGCCAGGCCAGCATTTGGCTCCACTTGCTCACCCCACCTCCTTGACTGAGATCATCAGAATTGACAATCACAGCCACATCAATTCTAATGATCTCAACCAAGGAGGCAGCAGGCAGATCAGGGACGGAGCCAGCGCCAGTGGACCTGCATGGCTGGCATAAAGGTGAGTTTTACTCTTTTTAAGTGATGCAAAGGGGGGCCCGGTCACCTAAATAATGTTTTTAAAACTATTGAGTTAGGAATGCAAGTTTGTATTCCTTATCCGATAGTGTTCCTTTAAGTAGTTTTATTAAATGGGATTGCATGGCACACCTGACAAGTCAGCATGTTTTTGTTTCTGGCAGTTTTCATCATTGACATCATTGACATAATTGACAAGGTTTGCATAGAGAGGTGAGTATATGGCTCCTCAGGCGGAACCTTAGAGTATGGATCATAGAGTTTTACTTTGGGCTCAAGCTTCAGATGTTCCTGGAAGCTAGCAATGCCTCTGGGATAAAATGCCCTGGTATGTAGGATAAATATGCTCATGTTCTTATCAAATAGTGATCTTATTTTACTCCGACCATAGACGAATAAACTATAGGGTAACATAAGGTTTCAAAAGAATAGGAACTACACAAGGAGGGAGCCTTCTCTCTACTGGACATAAATGCACTTTTTATTATATTTACCATAATAGCTGTGTTTTGCTAATTAATTATGTTATACATTTTGAAACCAGGTAGTCAACAGACATCTATTGTACACAAATATACTATAAGCCCAAAGGTACAATTTGCCTTGATCCTGGTGAAATACTTTACTTCTCGTTTTTATTTTATGGGTACATTTTCAGCTTTCTTTTCTATTGTACATTCCTAGACAAATTATGTTAGGTGACAGACGCACTAGTGTATTATGGTTTCATTATGACACATTTTTATTGCTAAAGAAATATTTTAAAGCAAGACTTTCAGAAGCAAATTTTTTTTTTTTTTAAATTATAATATTGACTAGGAACCCGTAGCATCATGTTTAACATTGCAAGAAAGATGATTTGAGCACCCAATCTCTATAGCAATATTATAATTTGAATAGGGTCAGAGAAATGGGACACCCTACTAGGGCTGAAGGGATTGGAGACATTTTATGGTATTACCCTGCACCCCATTAACCAAGAGTAGGAGATAGAGTTAAGGGTTCTTACTCAATTAGTCTCACCTCCACTCCTCTCATATATCAGTTCATTTTGTGGTATGCAAAAAAATCAAATACTTTTTTAACATTTAAAATTAGAAGAGGTAATTAGACATACAGTGAATTAACAGAATCAATTGAAAGATGTCTAGATACAGAACTTCTAGTTTTTCCTCCATCAAGTGCTGCTACTCCTGTGTCTGTCTCCATCCAAGTCTATGGCGCTACTATCACCTCTACCTCGCAGGATCGCTGCCTAGGGGTTCTTTTTGATTCTGATCTCTCTTTTACTCCTCATGTATAATCGATAGCCAAATCCTGTCGCTTCCAACTCAAGAACATAGCGTGCATCCGCCCATTTCTAACACCAGACACGGCTAAGGTACTGGTTCATGCTGTTGTTCTCTCTCGCCTTGACTACTGCAATCCCCTTCTCACCGGTCTTACATGTTCCCAGCTTGCACTGCTGCAATCTATAATAAATGCGGCTGCGAGGCTTATTTTCCTTTCCGGTCGCATCTCCCACGCCTCCACGCTCTGTCAGTCCCTGCATTGGCTTCCAGTTAGATATAGATATATATTCAAAATTCTAGCGCTTGCTTACAAATCCCTACATAATGCTGCTCCAACATACCTATCCTCCCTCATACACAAGTATGTCCCGTCGAGAGCTCTGCGCTCAGCCCAAGACCTACGCCTATCCTCTGCCGGATTCCCACCTATGATGCTCACCTTCAAGACTTCTCCAGGGCTGCACCTGTTCTGTGGAACTCCCTTCCCTCCTCAATCAGACTTTCACCCAGCCTCCACTCCTTCAAAAAATCTCTGAAAACTCACTTCTTCATTAAAGCGTATCAATTAAACTGTCAGCAGGTTTCTCATCCCCCACCCCATGACTCCTTTCCTGCAACTGTCAAAAATGACCTACCAAGCACTCAATAAACCCTTCTCTAACATACTATGTAATTCCCCTACTTTAACCCTTTGTGTCACTATACCTCACTCCCTCTAGCATGTAAGCTCATCGAGCAGGGCCCTCAACCCCCTCTGTTCCTGTACGTCAGTGGTCTGATCTCAATTATGTGTCTGTTAGTCCACCCATTGTACAGTGCTACGGAATTTGTTGGCGCTATATAAATAATAAAATAATAATAATAATAATATCTTTACAGACCGGGAGATACTGTGAAAGAGAGAGAACTAGCAAAATGCCAAGTCAGCTCATCCACCTTTATCTGTATCACACTGCATGGCATGAATCTTCAATTGTAATTCTAACAGCATATGTGGTTACGTTAACAAGTGGGCATAGCCGGAGTGTCTGATTTAAAAACAGTTTTATTTTAAGGATATGAAAAAACTCTGATACTTACACTATTTTCACTTGAAAAGCTTAAAAAAATTAGTGCATATATGTGGAAGAGTGCTTAATCAACACGTACCGTAGGTGCTCAAGTATACTCGCACTTGGAGGGAATTTAGCAATTACTTAACAATTACGTCATTACAGAAGTGTCACCAAATCATCAGTTTAACTCAGCTTCCAGGTGAAGTGTAGTTTAGTTCAAGATCTAAACTATTAATCTACCCAACAGCACTTCCAATATTTTTGTCACTATAATAAAGGTACTCTGATGACCCCTGCTGGTGACACAGAAGAACACAGAAGAACTGAATGATGTATTTGGATAAAGAGCATGAAAACTGATCCGGAACGCCATTCACAATAAAAAAAAAAACTTTTAAAATGCTGTATTTAAAATTATAATATATCCCACTGGGATAACTAGAATAATAAATGTTAACAAATATAGTTTACGTCATCTTAAACTGTGAAGTCCCAATAGCACTTGAAAGCTCATTGTCTCATTGCTGTCTCAAACAGAATGGACCTGATACTCATGTACATTTTCTTTATTTCAAATACCCCTGCCTGGGTTACATTGATTAGTTATTGATCCTTCATGGGTCTCACTTGTCCCATACTTAAAGGGACACTCCAAGCACCCAGACCACTTCTGCCCATTGGAGTGGTCTGGGTGCCAACTCCCACCACCCTTAACCCTGCAACTGTAATTATTGCAGTTCTCATAAACTGCAATAATTACTTTGCAGGGTTAAGTCCTCCCCTAGTGGCTGTCTACTAGACAGCCACTAGAGGGCACTTCCTGGTCCATAGCACAGAGTCGCTGGATGTCCTCACTCTGTGTCAGGACCTCCAGCGTCGTTAAAATCCCCATAGGAAAGCACTGAAAAGCATTACGTCTCCCCAGCCGGCGGGCGGGATCAGTCTCCCCCGCCGGCTGAGGTAATGAAGGGGAGGAGCGGCGGAGGAAGAAGCAGCGACGAGGGACATTGTCGCTGCCTTTGGTAAGTGACTGAAGGGGTTTTCACCCCTTCAGCAACTGGGGATGGGAGGTGGGAGGTAGAGGGGATCTGCAGTGCCAGGAAAACAGATTGTTTTCCTGGCACTGGAGTGACCCTTTAACTCCTTTGGAGCTAAAGGGAGATTTCCCATCATAGGGCCAGCAGTCTCTAAGTAAGCAGCAAGCAAATCTTATCTTGCAATCACCAGTTTCAGCTATTCCAAAATGCAGAGCTTTCCTTGTCTCATAGATGAAATTCTTCAAATGTCTTGCATTATTGTCACGCTCATTTCATTCCTAATGCTTCTCGTATACAGAGCATAATGGTAAAGGTGATATTTAATGGGGCAATCTAAGAAACATAACTTCTACAGACTACAGTTCAGTGTAGTGGTCAAGAATCTAATACCATTGTTTAGACAAACTATTTGAGAGTGATGTAATAAAAATAAGGGCTATCACAGCACTTGGAGACCATCCTCTACTGTACACTTCCTCATGATCAGCTTCAGTTCCATCCTAACTGGGCATCATTGATAGAGTTAGAGAACTATTACAACTCCAGACAATCCTTCCAGACAAGCACTTTCCAGGTTGAAAATATTTGATTGCTAAGAGACTGATCTCTGTTGTCCCTTTAATAGAAATAAGCATAATTGGTCATTTGTTTTATTAGTTGATTTGTGGCAACAGTAGAAATAAATATACCCTCAGGGGGGCGGAGCTTAGCCACTGAACGGAGCAGTTGCAAGTGCAGCGAGCTCCGGCTAAAAATGAGACAAATCGACGGCAAATACTGCCAATACAACCCAAACAAACCTAAAAACCAACAGCCAGAGCAATGGGGCAAAGCCTTCAACTGACCCATGCCCTTCGTATACCACCAGAAGGGACGGAAAGCACGCCACACAAACAAGGCCTACACAGACTACAAGGCCTTCGAAACAGCGCTCTATTCCACAGCCTTACCGCCCACGGAGAACACAACTACCGACCTGGCAAACATGGGACGAAAATTCCAGCGGATAGCAACAGGTGTGTGCAGACATACCCAAGATGTAAGCGCTGTGCTCCAGCACACTGCGGCCCCGAAAATGGCGGCCACACCTTACCCAGACACCAGCTCCACATGCTCCGAGGCTGCCATGGAGGACAACCTGCACCAACAACCATCCCAGGACACACAGACTGACCCAGATGCACTAACACCAGCCACTAAACTGGACATTAAAAACCTTCTAATGGAACTAAAACAAATGTCCGCAGCAGACATGGCCTTAATGAAAACAGAGGTCCAAGCGGTCACAGACCAAGTGAAGACTACAGAAGACTACAGGAAGTGAAAGGCCTTAAAGTGACCGTGTCCCAATTAAAAGCCTCACACACAATCCTGACCAACAAGATGGATGCAGTAGAAGAATGAAGCCGCAAATGCAACGTGAAAATTAGGGGCATCCCTGATGAAATCAGCCAGGCAGAGTTGCCACACCATCAGACACTTGGTCGCCACCATAATGCCACACGCACAGGCCAAAAAATTAGCTATTGCAAGGATATTTTGTATCCACAAATCACCACAGGCACCCCCCCAAGCAACCAAAGATGTGATAATTCGATGCCATACCTAAACAGACAGAAATGCCATCTTCGCCGCCTTTAGAGGCAAAACGCCACTGGACTTTTAATCCGTGAGTCTTACCTTTAATCAGGATCTGACAAGAGCCACACTCCAATGGAGAAGGATCCTGCACCCTGGGACCCTTCACCTCCAAGACGCCAAGATGACTTACCACTGGATAGAACTAAAAACACTGTCGGTGGACCATAACGTCACCACTCTACACCTCAACTCCACTCAGGAGGTGGGCTCCTTACTCAGGGCACTGGGGCTCCAACAAGAGCCATTACTGTTTTGGTTTTAATTTGATTTAATATGGTTTTAACTTGTTTTGAACATTTACTGCTTTCCAACTAGACACCTCTGTAAGGCATACACCCATATGACTTCCCCTTGGCGTAACGGGTCACTATTACGGCAAAGACCCTGCACCAATTCAACCACTAACGAGCAGCACACTACAAAGACAATCATTAACATGATAGGGCCAGCACCGGAGCCGCTAGCGTGTTACCCCCGCTCTCTCGCGGCCTCCGTGGTTAGGGGCCACTGACCACACGCACACCACATGAGCAACAATGAAGTACATAGGGCAGCCTAGGGACAGAAATACCTAAGCCCACACCAAACACGCCAGGACACTCGGCCCTAGACAATGCCACAATGACAAGAAGTGTGGCACACTTATATATCGCCATAACCAACGCTAGGAACCACCTACACGGAGCGAGGAATAGTTGCTCAGAACCCAAGCCATACACTAGACGTTAAGAGTATATTGAACGCACACAACTTCTTCCTCTAGACAAGAGACTGGGGCGATCTAGCGACATACTTAGTGAGAATGTTGTAACGTATGAACCTAATTCAAAAACTGTGCTCCGTATATCAATGCCAAATGCTTATTTATGTTTCATGCTTTGAAGCCTGAGAAAGCTGTTGTGGCATCTCAAGCGATTTATGTTCAACAAATGCACAACAAAAATAAAGAATTCAAAAAAAATAAAATATATACCCTCAGGGTATGTTTCATATACAACACGTGCTACAAATAAACCATTTTTATATTTCTGTAACCCATCCAGGACCTGAGATAAACAAATTATGAAAAGTACACACATTGTTGGTTCTCAAAGAGTTAAACACAATAACTTGCAGTAATATCCTACAGGCATCTATTTAGCAGGAATGGATTGCGATATAATATTGTTTATTATCTGATTCACACTGTGTGTTTTGGTTGATAAAGTCTAAATATTAAACTATTAAGTACACAGATACCCTCATTCCTCCTTTCCAATATCATTGTGATCACATACATTTGTTTGTTAATAATTGTTACTCTTCTGAATTACCCACCTTCTACACATACACACATAACCGTATCATAATCTTTGTTTTGTTATGCACGGCTGTTGCCCAGTAATACGTTTTTTTTTTTTTTACCACCATGAAGTCAATCTAAAATGTATTTCTTTCTATGGAGGCTCCATTTAATTCTAAGGACTTTTCCATTATTTTTTTTTAATAAATTTTTTTTTTTTTAATAATTATTTGCTTACTTTATGGATTCTGTTTCAGCTTTAGTACTTTTCATTTTATTTTATTTTTTTATATATTATTCAAATATATTTTACAAGAGTTTTAAAATGTCATTAATTTCTTCTCACTAAATAATGTGAAAACACATTGTAAAATGGAGGTTAGCCAATAAAACCCGACATATTTCCTTTGCTCCACCACTAGTTTTTACCCTACTGAATAAAACATGTTGCCCAATTTTACTTACAATATGCAGTCACTATCCCAAATACAAACAAAACATATTTTACAATCTGGTGGCATTTTATTTATTTTTTTTACAAAACTATGTTCCAAGAAATGCAATCAGGTTTCTTGCAAATATTAATATGCAAATCACTAAGGACATACTTGAAAATTAGATAAATGTATCCATCCTGGTAAAATCTTTTATAAATAAATGCCCCTTATAAAGAATGTATATATTATAAAGTTATGGAATATAATTTCAAAAAGAGATTAGATTTTTTTCAGAGGGAGATTGTTTACTTAGTAAGATACGCACATCTGAGATGGTCTGATTTTATATTCATTGATATTTTACTTATGTAGTACTAAAATAATCCACATTGCTTCACAAAGGGAATATAAAAACCTCAAATGAATAATTAACAAATTAAAGTGAAGAGAAGGAAATTAAAGAGAAAATTATAGCGCCCTTAAGGGCCTAAACGGGACATACTTGTGTATTAGGGAGATAGGTGGGAGCAGCATTATGTAGAGATTTGAAAGCAAGAACCAGAATTTTAAATTGATACCTATATCTTACAGGAAGCCAATGTAGGGACTGACAGAAGGGTGAGGCGTGGGATGTGTGGGCGGACAGGAAGATGAGCCTTGCCACCGCATTCATTGTGGACTGTAACGGCGCAAGTTGGGAGCACGTAAGACCACTGAGAAGTAGATTACCGTAGTCAAGGCGAGAAGGGACAGTGGAATGGACCAGCACCTTAGTCGCATCTGGCGTTAAGTAGGGGCGGACGCGCAATGTTTTTGAGATGAAAACATATATTCTTTCTTATTCTGAAATAATATGTAATACCATACAATCCATTATATTTGTATTACACCAACATTTCTGTAATGGATGAACAAACAAATATTAATACTTGAGTATAATTAAGTAATTTCATGTTTCTGGACATTCCAGAAAAATATTCTGTACTAATTGCATCCCATGTTTTAAACAAATGCCATGCTATTCTTTAAAATAAGTGGAACAAAAACATATGACTGGGCGCAACTAATAGTTTCTTAAAACAGGCAGGAGTTTGCAGGAAAAGACAACATTTCGGCACTATCCTGTGACTTGATAGTGCCAAAACATTTTCTCTGAACTCCAAATAAAAGACTGCATATTATTAAGAAGCCATTGGGTGTGCCCAGGTGGATTGTTTAGGAGTTGGCCCTCCTGGTTCGGATCACCCAGATGGAAGTATGTGCATTACCTCTTACACTCTGCAACTCTACTTTAAAAAAGAACTTGATAGTGAAGGGGTTTAGCAGCCATTTATTATTAGAATATTGTCAAAGATTTAAAAGTCACTCTGAGCATCATAACCTGTACAACCTTTTGTAGTGGTCATGGTGCAAGGGATCTTTGGGTGTACTTCATTCATTTTCAGTCAAACCATTTTAGTATAACCATTTATAAGGCTGGTATCTCAGTTGCAATCTTTGCAACCCCTTATTGTATATAACAGTTTTCTTGGCAACCATAACCTGCCTTTACTGCTCTCATCCTATCTTCCTATCTCAAATACAAATGCCTTCGAGATTGCCTGCCATATTTATTTATCCCAATTTGTAAGTTAGCCTGTCCAAGGTTTAAAAATAAACTGTGAGACCCACTTAAATTAATGATTTATTTTATTTGTATATTACACCTTGCACTGCTGCAGTAGAGAATTGTGGCATAAAGAGAATTGTGGCATTGTTCCCTGAAGCACAGCACTGATAGCTATTTTATCAATTTAGGTAAGAATGTATTTAGATATGTCGTACTCTTTACTGATGTCTGAGCATAGTTAAAGGGACACTATGGTCACCTGAACAACTTTAGCTTAGTGAAGCAGTTTTGGTGTGTAGAACATGCCCCTGCAGCCTCACTGCTCAATCCTCTGCCATTTAGGAGTTAAATCCCTTTGTTTATGAACCCTAGTCACACCTCCCTGCATGTGACTTGCACAGCCTTCCATAAACACTCCCTGTAAAGAGAGCCCTATTTAGGCTTTCTTTATTGCAAGTTCTGTTTAATTAAGATTTTCTTATCCCCTGCTATGTTAATAGCTTGCTAGACCCTACAAGAGCCTCCTGTATGTGATTAAAGTTAAATTTAGAGATTGAGATATAATTATTTAAGGTAAATTACATCTGTATTAAAGTGAAACCAGTTTTTTTTTTCATGCAGGCTCTGTCAATCAAAGCCAGGGGAGGTGTGGCTGGGGCTGCATAAACAGAAACAAAGGTATTTAACTCCAAAATGACAGTGAATTGAGCAGTGAAATTGCAGGAGAATGATCTATACACTAAAACTGCTTTATTTAGCTAAAGTAATTTAGGTGACTATAGTGTTCCTTTAATGAATAGATTCATTAATTGTAGATCTACTACAGTCCCAGACTGCACAGTTAACAAATTATTGGCAACATAATTGTCTATTCATATGTTTTGATTCTTAGCAAATATAATTAAATAACAATGTTGTAGGCTGTTTCTCATTTATTTTCACATGCATATTTATGTTGATAATCTGAAGTGTTCCAGAACGTAATAAGATTATTGCAGGCTAATGAATGCCCAGTCTTGGTCCAAAGCTTGAGCAGTTAATTATTTATATATTTGTGTTAATTCAGTTATTGCCATTTGATTAAACAAGTTTAAAAATGGCAATGAACAAATATAGCAATGATAACAGTGTGACACAGCAGACTACACTGTGCCGTTCCAAAGTCAAATGAATCCTACACTCTGTCCTGTCATATATAACCTCCCCATAACATAGCAACAGGCAGTTGACTGTCTCACATATTACATTAGTAGGAGTGACTCACATGGGTCAAAGCAGTTCACCACCAACCTTGCTTCACCTAAATTTGCTCTCCAGGGCTTCTTCTAGTTAAATCAGCCATTAATAATATGCAA